GTGCCCAGGACCGGACCCCCACTGGGCCTCCCACACAGCCTCAGGCCCTGGTGCGGCGGCACCTGCCGCACCGGCTGTAGTTCCGCCACTGGATTGGTTGTATTCCTCTATAGCTGATGGTATATTGCGCTGTATATGTACCATAAGCTGGCCATACACTGTAATATTTTCTTCATTCGACCTCTGGACTAAACAAAGACAATATAACAGACTCCTCCATGGATGCTTACCAACATTGATCGAGGAATCTCCCTCTGAATTCATTGTATTCTAACAGCAGCCCCAGCTGCTGTCAGGATTCCCAGACAGGGCCAGCAGTTCATTGGCTGACCGCTCTGTTAGTTTAAAGGGTTTCTGACCAGCTTCTTTCGATCAGCTTCTTTCGATCAGCTGGCCAAAAGGGTGCCGACAGCAGCAAACACTGTCAGGCCCGGATTTCCCACAAGGCCACCGAGGAGAGCGCAGAGGGGTGGCAGCTGTGACCTTGTGGGGAAGTTGCGGGCGCCGGTGTAAGGTGTCCCAGCGGCGGACCGTAGTGTGCGGCCGCCGTCCAATCACGATGGGGCGGGCCGAGGCTCCGCAATTCCTCCCCCCAGCTGTCGGATATAGGGATGAATGGAAAAAAAAGTGATAAAAATAAAGAAACAGTAAAAAATAATTGAAACTAACCCCTGCCGCCCTGCCATCTGGTTGCCTTTCACAATTGATGGGGCGGGGGGCGTATTGTGGAACCTGGCCTTGGGGCGGCAGGGAGAGTAAATCCGGCCCTGAACACTGTGCGAGTTTTGGCCGGTTCATTAAGAACCGTTCAAATCATTACACAGTGTATGGCCAGCTTTAGTCACCTCTCCACCGCAGGGATTCCCTCTTCCCATCTCCGTTCCTCCAGCGCTCATTGGAGGGACAGACAGGGGAAGGGGCCGGACACAGCTTGCTCTAGAGACAGCTGTCAATTAGACAGCGGTGTGGACCGACTATTGTCTGGATCTTTTCTGGCTGCAGCGCGGCTCTGTGTTGTCAGCAAATAGCAGGCAGTAGCCCTCCTAGATGCTGACTTTGGGTAACAGGAGTACAGTAGTAAAAGTACTCCTTTAACCCAAAAGAGGACTATAGCCGAAATAAAGGTTTGACTTTAGTTCTCTTAAGTCTAGGGGTAGAGGGATAAAGAATAATACTTACCTTCCTTCTTGCTCTGGCAGGCTCCCTTCATCTGAAGGACTGGTCCCTTGAAGCCTCCTCTCTAAAGCAGGCTATACACCTATAGATTTTCTGCAGATTTTCTATGGTCAGATGGAAAAAGTGCAACAGATTCCTCCATCTACGCTAACCTGTGTGGACGGAGGAATCTCCCACTGGGCCAAGCTTCAGTATCTTGCTAGTCGGCCCCGCTGGCTCTCAAAATACCTGAACAATCCCTGCATCCAATCAGATTGTTCAGGTATTTTGAGAGCCAGCAGGGCTGACTAGCAAGATATTGAAGCTTGGCTCAGTGGGAGATTCCTCCATCCACACAGTTTAGCGTAGATGGAGGAATCTGTTGCACTTTTTCTATCTGACCATAGAAAATCAGCATACAATCCAAGGCAGTTCCCCGACCTAGAGCATCAGGTGAAGAGGAGAGTGCCTGGAGTAGGGGTAAAAGTGACACTGAACTCAGGAGTTAAATCTTAAAAATACATTCAAGTACCTTAACTATTAACAAAAATGTATCTTATTTGTGTGTCACTTGGCTGTAGATCCTCAAATCATCTCTAAATTAATGCGGACACTGTCCTCCCTTCTGGAGGGTGGCAACTTTGGTTCCCCATAGTCCCTGTGTGTTGTAAAGTAGCCACCGCTCCAAGATCACCCCTGTGATGGACTATAAATTCAATACAAATTTGTAAACTAAACACAGAAGTGAGCTTGGAGCGGTAATTACTTTACAACACACACACCCAGGGACCATGGGGAACAAAAGTAGCCAACCTCCAGAAGGAAGGACAGTGTCAGCACCAACTCAGATGATTTGAGGATCTACACCTGAGTGATGCACAAATAAGATACATTTTTGTTAATCTTTAGTCCTCATTCACACGAGAAAAGGCCGGCATTTACAGCTCTGTGCACGGCCGTATCGGGCAGCTCCCGGGAAGGACAGGTGCTGTGTGTGATTAGTACGCAGCCCCTGGCCTTCTCTATGGGAGTGCGCCGCCCTACGCTCACCCCAAGTGCAGGTCTGTACGGGTGTCCCGGCTTGGATGCAGACAGGATCCATCCTGTCGGCGTACAAATACGGACACCCGCACGGACGTGCAGGGCGGGTGAGCGTAGGGCAGCGTACGGCCGCATACTTTCATAGAAATGACAGGGGCTGCGTACTAATCACACACAGCACCTGTGCTTCCCTGGAGCTGCCCGATACGGCCGTGCACGGAGCACGGAGCTGTATGTGCCGGCCTTTTCTTGTGTGAATGAGGCCTTAAATCTTAAAAATGCATTCAAGTACCTTAACTCCTTTTTAGTATAGTGTCACTTTAAGGTAAGTAGTAGCGCCTCTTCCTCCAACCCTTAGATTTTAAGCATTTTATCCTATATGCAGTATTGGGGGGGGGATCCCAGAGTTGACCTTTAAGCTTCCTGAATAATATTATGTTTGAAAGTAGGGTGTACTCCACATAATATAGATCTTCCTATTTAAAAAAAAAAAGATTTTGATTACATATTTGTTATTCAGAACATAGAAACTTCGCCTCCTATGTAAAGGCTTTAGCTGTAGTTAGGCTTTAAAGAAGAACTCCGGTTAAAATTTGTATTTAACCCTCACCGTGGGTCTACCCCCGCACTGCAAGGGTTAAGTACTCGTTTTTGTCTAGGCACAAAAAATTCTCACCGGACCATCCAAGCCGGCTCCCTGCTTCTGTCGCTGCACAGATGGACTGCTCCTCAGCGTCCTCACGTCTATGCACAGTGTATAGAGTGTAATGACACCAGGATCCTTAGACCGCTGTAGCAGAGGGGGAGGGACACCCAAGACACCAGTCTATGAACAAGCTGGCTCGGATGGTATTCTTTTTTGTTTTTTAAAGCACTTAGACACAAACGAGCACTTAACCCTTGCAGTTTGGGGGGTAGCCCCACTGCAAGGGTTAATAAATTGTTTTCATGGAGTTCTTTAACCACTTGCTGACCTGGTGTTTACATCCCCTTCCTGGCCAGGCCATTTTTCAGTATTCAGCGCTGCGGTACTTTGACATTTATTCCGTCATGCAACGCTGTACTGAAATTAATTTTATACCATTTTTTGGGGGGACAGATAGAGCTTTCTTTTGGTGGTATTTAATCACCACTGCGGGTTTTTTATATTTTACTACATAATGAAAAAAGTACCAAATATTTTGGGGGAAAAAAACCTGTTTTCCCTAAGTTATGTTTTAAAACATTTATTACCCAAATTTTTGGTAAAATATAAAAGACGGGGGTCACGTCAGGTAAATAGACACCAAACATGTCAAGCTTTAAAATTTCGTGTACCCGCGAAATCGCAAAAAACTACCATACCCAACGCTTTAAAAGCTGTCACCGCTCATCAGTTTAGTGTTATCAGTGATTGATGGCCCTAGAATTATTGCTCTCACTGACGTTCGCGGTGACATGTGCGGCGTAATGGGTGCAATCGTCCTTTTCGCAGGTATGCGCACCCGACGCATGTTTGCACGCGTGTATGTATGATAACGTTATTGTTATCACATAGGGGCTAAGAAGCCCCCCCTATGTAATAGCAAGAGAATATGACAGGTCCTCTTTATGACAGCAGGAGGATATGACAGGTCCAGAGATCTGTTTCATCAGCTTCTCTCCAGCTTTTGAAGCTGGAGAGTGACAGGAAGCTATTGTGTATTTTAAAGCAGAGTAAAAATGAATTTGCAGTATAAAACGGTATTATTTTGTTTATTTTAAAAAATACAGTTTTCCCCTTGTTCTCTCTGTGTACATTCTGCAGACTCTGACATTTTTTGGACATAAATGTGTTTCAGTAGCAGCTGAACTTTACAGTTTTACATTTTACTGTGCTTGACAATGGCTGCTTGTAGTCCAATTTTTAAGCATGCAGGAAAGAGTGACAATTCTGCAGTTGAATGTTGTCAACCTAATTTGTAGCAGGTATGATTTATTTGAAAACAAGCTATTTTTTTTTTTTTTTTTATGTGTGCACATTACATAGATAACATAATTGTTTCGGTTTTAGATACGCTTTATGAACCTCTGTTAAAAAAAAAAAAGTGCTTTATATACAATTTCTGTTTTTTGTTTTTTTTTAATGGAAATTCTGATATGAGCAAGCAGCTAATGTGCTATATACATGTAACATTTTATATATTTAACATTTTATTTATTATAATTGTCATTTAAAATAGATAAAACATGATGAAAAGATATATACAAATGCTGTGGTGCATTAAAATATTTCCATTACATTATTGTTCCCAATGTATTCCTGAAGACATTATCCTTATACAAGATTTATAAAGCGCCAACCGCTTGCACAGCGTTTTACAAAATAATTGGTTTAAAGCATACTGCTAATAAAACAGCTATATTCAACAAACTGCATTAAAGCCGACACCATTGTGGCACAGTTTACCAACATTCAATAAGTTGCTTGGGTTAGAGCTCTCCAATGAAAAGTGCAGCAGGTTAAGTAAGTTCCCATAAATACGGATGATTTTATTTCAGTGTTTCATCTACCTGCATACTTTATAATGTCACTCAAGACTTTAATTTACATATTTCAGCATTGAAGTTCAGTAATCAGTGAAACCCTCAAATACATGTTAAAGGTTATATGAATATGTGGTCTGACAATTATCATTTCTGTGTGAATTGTCCATCTTCTCTTCTAAATACCTCAGGTCCTTGTTATTTGCCTGTGCAGAGGGTGTGAGTAAGCACATGCGCCTAACATCACGTAGCTTTTTCTCCGCTACAGCCTTGCAAGGCGACACCTTTTCCCAATCAAGGAAGGACAACTATTCCTGTGGGTTCAAGAAGGACACTTCAACCAAACACTTCATGAGACATGTACGTCATGTAGAGAAAACCATCTTGGTCCCGGTGTGCACTATATACTTCCAGCATTGTCATTGATAAACTGGCCATTTGACGCTCATTGACCATTACACAAAGAGAGTAAGAGGGAAGGAGGGATAGTCTGCCCCTGTAAAGCAAAAAAAATCATTTTAGCACATATTTTTTATTTTTTTTTATTTTAGGGCTTAAAGTACCTAAAACTCTTACATGAAAACGATCCAATACCAAGGAATTAAGTTAAAGCTGGCCATTAGCTAATATTTATTTGAACGATTGATCAGAAGTGATGAATTTTATGGACGATTGTTTTTGCAGAGTTGATCAAGAGCTCATTAACTCAGAGATGCTTTAATTTATGATTTTTAGTCAATTTGATCAGTTTAGTCAGATTGAATGATTGCTTGAATGATCATATCCATATGCGTATGGCTGCAATAAGACACCTGACCTGGAATAAGTTAGTGAATCACAAAGTAGTACAGCAAGGATGTGGTTAATAGCCTAGGAGCTTGCACCTTTAGGCCTTGTTCACACCGAAAGCGTGTGCGTTCCAGAGCAGTAGCTGCTGGAACGCACTGCGATCGCTGAGAAACTTCCCTTTGCGTTTTGGGAAGGGGCGTGGCGGTGCATTGTATTCAATGGTCACGCGTTCAGTGTGAACAAGCCCTTAAAATGGACCGGTTGTCAAAAATCAATACACTTTAACAACGCTGGTAACATTATGCACAATAAAGCTGATTTTTTTTACATGTATCTAAAAGAACATGAAGACTAAAAAGCTACCCTCCCGGAGCTGCCACAAAATGGCTTCCATAATTCTCCTCTGACTGGTTTCTTTTAGGACCCATTTACATTTGTGCAGTACATTAATGTGCGTCATGTGTGATAATGTGCAGTGCTTTACAAGAGAACTAAAGCCAAACTTGTTTTGGCTTTGGCACTCTTTTGGGTCACAAATTTACTAATATACTTCTGTAACACAAACTTGGCAAATAGCGGGCTACTGTCCGTTATATACAGACAGTGCAGAGCCGTGCTGCTGACAGGAAGCATCTTGATTATATTGTCAGGATCTACCCTGCTGCCTGACTGACAGCTGGTCCTGCCCCTCTAGAGCCAGCTGTGCCCACCACCTCCCCTGCCTGTCCCTTCAATGAACGCAGCAGGAACAAAGAGGGAAGAATCCCTATGGGGAGCAGTGACTAGTAGTCACTGCTCCCTGCAGAGCAAAAACCGTGAGCTGAGCAATCAGCGGTCAAACAATCGCTCAGCTCTCAATCTATGGAGCCAGGGTGTGACAGCTGCATTGTCCCACACCAGTTCTAATTGGGAAGAGTACATTTTATTCTCCCAATACTTTTCATTTAAGGCAGTTCATTCATTTTTATACCCCAGTGTGTAAACCTTTTTTTGGCTTTAGTTTGCTTTTGAGTCACAGGAGACCTAATGTACTCCTTTGACTTGAACTCAACAACAGCGGGGTACTACCCGCTATACGCTGACAGCGCAGAGCCGTGCTGGAGGCAGGAAGGATCCCGACAATATTGTCAGGATTCACGCCACAGCCTGATTGACGGCTGGCTCTGCCTCTCTAAGCCCTCGTTCACACCTGAACGTTTTGTAGCGCGTTCTACGATCGACGAACGCTCTACAAAACGCTCAAAAATCTAAATCCCATTGTATTCAATGGTCTCGTTCCCACCTTGGCGTATTTCCGCCCGTCCCTAACGCGCTACAAAACGGCCCACGCCTGAAAAGGTACAGGTACTACTTTGGGCTGTTTTGTTGCGGATACAGCCAAGTAGCCTTCGGAAATGCGCGACGGTCGCGCGACTTTTTTACAGCGAATCGCGGTAAAAAAACACGCATATGCAATACGCCTAGGTGTGAACGAGACCTAAATCTAGTGCCAGGTGTGCTCCAGTGAGCACTGGAGGATTAGGGAGAGCTGATGAGGGGGAATCTTGGCAGGGTGGAATGCCTGACAGTCACCTTTCACTGCAGAGAGAAGACCATGAGGTGACCATTCAGTTCTCGAGCTATAAAGCCGGCATGTGACCACTGCAGTGTCCCACGCTGACTCAAACTATTGGGAAGAGTATACTTTACTCTCCCAATAGTTCACTTTTAATACTAAACTTATTTACATAAAGTGTGCTCTATTCAAAACAAATATGGCAGCATCATGGCATGTCTGATTACAGGCAAGCTGTTCAGACACAAGGACAAGTAAATAAAAAAAAAAAAAAATTCAGTTCTACTTATTAATGTGTCATTTATACGCATACAAATCAGTGGTCACTGCACTTGCATCTATATACTTGTATTCTGCTTCTGCTCACCTGATCATATTGACAAACTGTCCCATGGTGATTTCCGGGGGAACTAGAAATTTTATTTTCTGAAGCTGCGGCAACTTTTTTTCATGGCTACTTCTTTCCACGATAACCTGTAACAGAGAAAGATTTTTTACAAACCACTCTGAACATGTGCTGGTCAATATCTTCCCTGGGTTCCCTCACATGCAACTGGACACTTAACCTATTATTCACTAAAAAGCGGAAGAATTTAGTCGAAGGTTCGGTTAATCCTTCGGCTTGCTTCGCCTGGTATGATTTGAAAGGGTTACCTTTCAAATCATACCAGACCGTTTAGATTTGGTAGGAATGTCAGTGGAGACCCCCAATGTAACGTGACGTCACGGGACTCGCTCTGTCAGTTTGTTTTCATGCCATTTGAGGACAATGAGCTGTCATGTCATGAAAACAAATGGGTGTTGTGATTTTGTTTACTTTTTTCTGTACTTTGGTGAATAAGTAGTAACAACTACCCCTTACTCATTCAAAAAAGGGGGGGCAGCTGGGTTCCCTCTTCATGAAAGGGGGTACCCATATGTAGATGACACCCTCCGCCAACCCCCACAACCACTGGGCCAGGGTTCTGGGGAAGGGGCTCTTGTCTTCATCGGCATGGGGACAAGGTACTTTTCCAGGTGGTCTCCCTTGGCAAAGCGCCCTCCCAATGCCAAGCTCAGATTAAGATTTTGGTATGTGATTTTAGGGGGGACCCTACTCTTTAGGGGGCATTGGGGTCCCCCGTAAAATACCTAGCAAACCTAAAGTGTCTGGTGTGAATTTGTAGGGGAATCCCATGTTTTGTTTACATCGGAGGTCCCCCCTAACATTCCTATTAGACCCTCTGAGGTAGTGAACAGAATGATGAGCCGAATGCAGAGCCGAGCATTCGGCTATTCACTCTCTGCTGTTCAACCCTTTTTAAATTATAGGGGTGAACAGCAGGGAATGAACTGCTGAACGTTCGCCTCAGCTGATCCAAGATGTTGAATTGGCCTAACCGAAGAGAGGTGAAGCGGGCCAAATGCAGCCGATGTACGGCTAAAATTAGCCGCACAGGGCTGCAGTGAATAGCTGAAGAGGCTTCAGCTCACTTCACTTTGGTTCGGTTATTCATTTCGGAATTAGTGAATAACCTACTTTAGTATATACTGATTATGAACAAAACTTAAGTAGATTTCACCTTTACCTAGCAGTGGTATAATGTTTGAGGGGATACATGAATATGCTGAATTTAAAAAGCTAACACACCAGGATCCTTATTTAAATAAAAGTGTCAATTATTTGAAAATTACAATCACATGGCTGAAAAAAATGTCCATCACCGAGTAAAACTTTATGAATGGAACCTATTGTTTTAAACTAGAATGTCACACCAAGTGCTTTTGGGTGTTGAAAACATTAATGCATGCAAATTCAAGGATTTTCACCTCTAACTGTGAACTGTAAAGCAGGTCATACACCATTTTTGTTTGACACTAATAATTTAATACTTCTACTAATGTGGTCTAATAATCTAATCGAATAACGCACTCAAAACAAATATTGTTTTCGACTGTAGTGTTAAAAAAAAAAAAAAAGCCAAAAAGGAGTGGTATGGGAAATGTATCTTGAATTAGCAAAATGCTAACAGTGAATATGGTTTTTATTCATTCGTTTCATGCATTCATTCCAAAATCAAATGTTAAATTCAAACAAAATAATTTCAAAGAACATTCATCAAGTCTCTCAGGGACTTATTGAATGTTCTGATGAGATTTTTTGAATGAACGTTTGTACTAAAATCTACTAGTGTATGGGCAGTTTTAGTCTTGCCAAAGTCTGGCAAACAATTAGTTGGAAGTGTTGATGAGCGTTTTCAATGCCCAAGATCACAGAAGCAGTAACAAAAAAACTAGGTAAATTTTCTGACAGTCTTTCTCTACTATAACACAAGTTCTTATTCCTACAGCTGACAAAACTCTTTTATAAAGCCTCTAACTCACTTACTCAAGACTCCAGAATTACTTCAGATTCATTGATTGCACATATTGGAAAAGGAGCCGGCAGCCTGACCCATTTAGCTTCTGAAGGTGAACTTGAAGCTGTTCACAAAAAATACTATCAACACATCTGATGTCATATATGCAGGATATAATACAGCTAGAGCCCAGATGGGCTTCATGCCATCGGGTGAAGCCAGAAACATAATTAAAGTTCCTATTCTGATTCCCAGTGCCCTTGCAATTTTCTCTTGACTGATACCAAAAAGGTGTTTGAGTTGACCGGTCTTTTATGTACCAGGTCCTACAATATGTAGGGCTAGGTAAAAACTCTAACCCCAAGTCATACGTTAAATCCAATAGGATGTTTTCCAAATATTCTATTATAACAAATGGCACCTGCCAAAGATACCTCCTCACCCCTCCACTGTTTGTTTTAACTCAAACCACAACAGGTCGATCCCAGAAATCGATGGACTTTATATCTGGGGAAACCAATATAAAATAGCCACCTAGGTAGTGATGTTTCCTGAAACATCACTTCCAATAATACGAAAGTCAGTCAAGACTTATCCAACTTCAAAATTAATCTTATAAACTCAGAGACACCTCCCTCTACCTCTATCCAAGCTAGAAAAATAAAACATATCTAACATTAGATGGACAGAGAACACTATAGAGTATCTGGGAACACAGATCTGATTATGGAAATTACAAACAATCCTTATGAAAATATTTTTTTTCTCCTCCAAGCTCTACCCAACTATATCACCAATAATTTCTTCTGCTGTACCCACTCCTCATCTACAAAAGTCTGGACAGGCAAGCCCCCTGAAGTTAAAATGGGACCCCCCCCCAAAAAAAAACACAAAAAAACACACACACACTAGGTCTACCCAATCTACACTGCTACTACTATCTGGCAAGTCACCGGCATCTCTCAGCTCCAACCTTGCCAGATGCCCAATTTATTGTGTAGCTCCAACAGAGCTTTGCTGCTAATGCCCCTTGTTCTGTGACCACCCCCTCTGCTGTGACTGAACACATCTTCTATGTTTATTTTCACTGGGAAGAGGAGACTAGTGTTAACACATCCATCTCCCTGCTTGCTGTCAATCAAAACTAATTAGCTATTGATCTCCTCTTGAGCACCTTGGTGGGAGAGCTGTTGACTATGCTAGCTCAGCATTCGTATCACTGATCAAAACAGAAGAAAGTGCTCCATGCACTATGTCTTTGAGGACCTGAAGATGTGTTTGGTGTTACTTCTTCATAAACCCCCAACCATTACTCTGCGCTCACCCCATCTGTAGAAAACCTGTTGAACCTATCCCCTTTATACCCCCTTCCTGTAGGTGGGCTATATATACACAAGGTAGAACATTTTCTCCTTTTGAAGGCAAACTCTCTCTCAATCCCTTCCTATCCCTTAAAACAGCAAACAGAACTCAGAAAGGCGTTTTGTCTGAAAAAGTTTATTAGTTCATACAACCGGTTTCGGCTCAATTTATGACCAAGTTGATGGAAGAAACAAAAGATCGATAGAGATGTCCAAATCTGACCAAAACCAATGCATTGATATACATTTTCTAACCTGTCTCTACCTCTAAATACTCTTGTAACTTGTATGAACAGATGGTTACCAATTCACATTGTTTTCTGACAAATATAAATAAAAAAAAGTTACTGATCATAGACAGCGCTTCAAACCAGTTCCTCAAAACATCCATCATCTTCCCAAACTCATCCAGTGCCAAGAGAAATAAATTGCAGATAGAAATAAAGGGGGGGGGGGGGCCACAAAAAAAAAAAGGAAATCTCTTTAAAGCAGGAGGTGTTAGAGGATATGTAGGTCACTGCTTTGCCATTGTTGGCATCAGTTTTCACATCAGTACTTTTGTGTTTTAGTTGGTTTCAAAGCTTTTAATAAACAAAAGGAACACAAATTCTTACCGGAATTTTGCAGGGAAATCTATTCTTTACTCTGTTTACCTCGTGGATTCGACTGTCTAGAAGAATCATAGATAAATACATGTCATGTTAACAAGCTTGAAGAAATTTTGACTCTAAAATAATTAATTATATTTTAACTGCAAAACATCAATAGGTAATCACACTTGTAGTGCACACGTATACAGTATATCACTGTGTAAAACTTACCCTGCACCAACTCAGGAGTGTTACAGAATTTTATAGAGTAGCTGAGAGATTATTAATGCCACAGTGGTATCCTGATGATATGTGTTTTGGTCATTCCTATTCTGTATGCTATTAACATGGCTACATACTGAGCAAATTTCGTCTACGTGATGAACCAGACAAAATTCGCTCAGTGGGTGGCCCTGCCTGCCGCCTCCTGCCTGACATCCTTTAAATAAAAAATCAAAGGAGCCGGATGAAAATTGTTGGCTGAACAGATGCAGATGTTCAGGTATTTTGATACAATTGATGGAGGTGCCCTCCGCACACCTTTCAGCAGTCCCGGCCAACAATCAAATAAATGGTGCTCGAAGTAACTTCACGGATGGCACCGTGCAAAACGGTATTTTGATAGCCGCAGCGCAGATTCCTCCATCCACATTCTGCTTAGCTTGGTTCGTGGAATCCGTTAGATTTTTTTTCTGTTCGGCCCAAACGATGAAAAAGGTATTAGTGTATGCCAAACTTTAGTGATTGCACTAACCTTGATCACAGGTACCAGATAACATCCTATGTATATGAATTTCTTTGGGTCAAAACTGGCTAGTTTGTTTTCATGTTTACTGATCTGTCTAAACAGAGTAAAAACAGTTTTTGTTGTCTAGACAGAGCATGATCAGAGTGCTGGGGATTTTTAAGCAAGCAAGGGAAAACTGAGAGGGTCTGATCACAAGAGCTGTAGGAAACATCTCTAGACATGTTTGACTGCCTGGATCCACAAGAAAAAAGCCTATTTAAACATCCACTTTGTGGTAATATGTGCTTTACTGCGTGAGTCACTACAATGCGCAGTAAAGGATAGACACCGGCACTCCAAAGCAGGTTCAGTACGTGTTTATTAACATACTAGTTGCATGTAGAACAACTAGTACGTTAATAAACACGCACTGAACTTGCTTTGGAGTGCCGGTGTCCATCCTTTACTGATATTTTGCCAGAAGCCACCCGCTGACACCTATTGCACGCACCCACCCTCCATTTTTGGAGCAGTGGCTCTGAGTGCGATGGGTACACTGACTGCAATGCACAGTAAAGCACATTACAATCTGTGGTGCCAATTATTTGTAATGGCAACCCAATTCAGTAAAGCAACTCACCTGCATTGCAGCATACTGCAACACATGGCAGTGTGTTACATTAGAATTAAAGGGCCATGTGTGATTATAAGCACTTCACGGTGTGTTGGCAGCACATTCATTTTGCATCAACAGACCACAAAAGATGTAAATGGGCCCAAAAAGGACAAATAAAGTGCATTTTCAATGTGTACATATTTTGTGTTACTGTTGCAGTAATTTGGATATAACAATCACATTTTATATACATTCTCTTCTTTGTTATTTTAATGAATATTAAAGAAAAATATTTATTCAAACTAACCCTTGCAGTGGGTTAAGCACTTGTTTGGGTCTAAAGATAAAAATAAAAGAGAAAACTACTCAACCACATCCTCGGTCTTGCCTGGCTGCTAGACCGGTTCCCACAGCCTCTTCTCCCTCGGGCTCCAGCAGAGGGACTTACCACAGTTGGAGCAGAGGGGGGAAAAAGTAACCAGTAACTTCTGCAGGAATGAGGATCAGGTTTGTATTTCTTCTTTATTTTTGCTCCTAGACTAAAAGGTGCAGTTAACCCTTGCAGTGTGGGTGTAACAACGTTCATTTTATTACATCCTGGTGTTCTTTAAGGATTGTTGATTATGTATTAGAGAAATTCTTTAAGTACTCGGTCTTCAAGCTTAATTGCAGTTTAAGAAAATTACCAAGTCAGAATGCTTTAAAACAGTTTGAGGGTTTTTTTCAAATCTTATGGTTTGTGTTTTCACCCATCCACAACAAAGTTCTGCACTCCATGAAGGCTACGGCTAAAGACCACTGTGCTCTATACCGCAGGGAGACACGCTTGTTGAATCATCCAAAATTTGATCCATACATGCACCTGCAAGCACCACCTGGCTTGACAAATTTTGATCTGAACATCAAAGGAGCCGGGTAGAAAATTCTCAGCCAAACAGTGACTTCAATCAATCTGACGCAGTCACTATTCGAGTGTCCTGACAGTTGAGGAAGCAGCAGCTGTCAGAATACAAAAGAAGATTTCTCCACTAACACGGTTTAGCATGGATGGGGGAATTTAGTGATTTCTCTAGTTTAGCCCATGAGGCTCAACAAGAGAAATCTTATTATGTATGGCTAGCAAGTACCTCTGGATTGTAATTTGCTACCTTTTGTGTTGTACTTGCCGTAAATCAAATCTTTGAAATAGAAAATACACTGCAGTGTGCCATTAAGCCCAGACAAACTCACTTCTTTTGAAACATGTTTGTTACCATCTATCTCTTAGTATCCATTTCATTTAGCCTGGGTTCACACCTGGGCGTTTTTCAGCGCTGATTGAAGCGCTGAAAAACGCTCAGCAAGTGAAATCCTATTGAGTGCTATGGGCATGGTTCCCACCTGGACAGATTGCGCTGAAAAACGCCTTACGCCCGAAATAGTACAGGAGCTTATTTGGGGCGTATTTCAGCGCGTGTCCATTGGTATTCCCGAGTGTGGCTCAGGGTTAACAAAGCGGTCCCCCCGAGCCACACTTGGGAATACAGCGTAGGTCTTACCTTGTCCGCGATCCCTGCTGTGTTCTCCGGCCGCTGCCGTCTTCCGTCCCTTGCGAGCGTCCACGTCGCAGGGGGGCGGAACCGGCGGGAAGCTTAAAAAGTTAAAACGAAAAAAAGGGGGAAAAAAAAAATCATACCGCTAGGGACGTTAAAAAACGAGCGTCGAACGCGCGTTTCAGTGAACAAAAAAACGTGTTTTGAAACATGCTGAAAAAACTAGCATAAAACGCCCTTTTTGGAACGCCCAGGTGTGAACCCAGCCTAAAGGCAAATTTGTATTTGCTATTATAAAATATACTTGATGTGATTCAATGAGCTTATTAAAAAATATGAAATACAATGAAGGGGTCAATCTTGGGGGCAATTTAGAATTTAGCTGCCCACATAGTGCAAATTGACCCTTTCATGACTGGAAGTTATTAAACACGTTTGGAGTGTCAGTAAGCCTCAGTTGACTTAACTATAATACTGTGGCTTATTTGTTACTTTGACAGTGGGGTCTTAGAACTAGGATGATGCACACATGGGCATTCCTAGCTCTTTGCTGCAACATTAAAGTGTATGTCAAGGAAAAAAACAGAACAAAACATATGCAGTGCATTCCTTACATGCATCTTTCCCTGTGTTTGAGTCCTTTAAAGACCTTGCAAGTACAACAAAAAATACCCAATACAGTGCCAGAAATTGATTCAGCTCATAAGCCCTGTTGTGGGCTGAAAACATACATCATTTTTGTGGACTGAGTGCTGCCAGTCATGCCCAGTTGCCTTTTGCTGACCAATATTCTCCTTTTCTCCTTCATCCTCTCTATTTCTCCTATTTTGGGTGCTCCTCACCGCCCTTATTGATCCCAGGTGCTCATTGAATTATTGGAATCTATCACTCACAACGCAGTGGCACAACCCCAAGTGATGTTAATAAACGCGCTCGGACAACATCACCATTAGAGAGCTTTGTACCTTTTAGGTTAATATCCACCAATTGATCCGTAGATCTCAGAAGTGTGCGTACACATCACGCAAATGTACTGCGACTGATGAGCCGGGGAGCTCCTCCACTTACCAGTGCCTCCTCCCCCCACCTTCTGCACTATCTCCCCAATGGGCCATGGGATTTTGCATTAAAATAGTAAAAAGAACCAAAGAATGCGTTTTGGAACTGAATAGGATCATGCACATGGAAGAATTGACCGCCCAACTATATGACAGATATCCCCAATTTGCAGCGATTTGGACGCCCTGGATTCTCCAAGCAGACACATGCCTAGCGTAACGCTCCCCACGCCCCTATTCCCGCCCTAGAGTATGGATCACCCCTTCCAATACCCATCAGGACATGGTACCTCCCAGGCAGGCTTCCCCCTACCCCACACCCCCCTCCACAACCTTATCTACACTCTTCCCCTCCCCCCCCCTCTTTCTCCTTTTTCTCCTTTTCTCCTTCATCCTCTCTATTTCTCCTATTTTGGGTGCTCCTCACCGCCCTTATTGATCTCAGGTGCTCATTGAATTATTGGAATTTCTCACCCACAACGCAGTGGCACAGCCCCAAGTGATGTTAATAAACGCGCTCGGACAACACCACCATTAGAGAGCTTTTTACCTTTTAGGTTAATATCCACCAATTGATCCGTAGATCTCAGAAGTGTGCATACACATCACGCAAATGTACTGCGACTGATGAGCCGGAGAGCTCATCCACTTACCAGTGCCTCCTCCCCCCACCTTCTGCACTATCTCCCCAATGGGCCATGGGACATTTCCCCTTTTGCACTGTAATGTACCTTATAGATTTTATTTTATTGGAAAAAAAAAACAAAACAAAAAAAAAAACATCTTGTTACATCATCATTGAATTATTGGACTCTATCACTCACAACGCAGTGGCACAACCCCAAGTGATGTTAATAAACGCGCTCGGACAACATCACCATTAGAGAGCTTTGTACCTTTTAGGTTAATAATATCCACCAATTGATCCGTAGATCTCAGAAGTGTGCGTACACATCACGCAAATGTACTGCGACTGATGAGTAGGGGAGCTCCTCCACTTACCAGTGCCTCCTCCCCCCACCTTCTGCACTATCTCCCCAATGGGCCATGGGACATTTCCCCCTTTTGCACTGTAATGTACCTTATAGATTTTATTTGATTGAAAAAAAAATTATCTTGTTATATCTGTGTTTTATATTTTTGCTACCTAACACCTTGTCCTTGTACTGTACAATCACATGTAACCACGCAAATGATGACAAGTGTTTTGTTTTGTTTAATAAACTTTTAATCTTTAAAAAAAAAAAAATAGTAAAAAGAAATCTCATCTCCATTAGAATTCTTTTACTATTTTAATTCAAAACACCTCGTGTTCACTTAACTGCACATGGTTCGTTTTATGAACCCAGCTGTCTTAATCTGCTGAAAAGCGAGTATAGCTATGACCTAAGCTTTGACAATGTATAGACTACAGTAACACTTTAATATTATTAAACTTCCAGAAATAAAATAGAATAAAGTCAATGTTAACAGCTTAAACACCATTACATACACTATCACATAGTGTGGATCTCCATACCTAGTCGTTTCCTTTGCTTGAAGGATGATAGGTTTAATTCCAGGCTGGTGCTGCTCCCAAGTGGGGACATTTTCACTGTGTGTGGCCCTCGGTCTCTCTTTGTTGCTCCCCATCCACAGCCATCATCCTCTTTTTATAAGTAGTGAGTAGCTGAAACCAGTTACATCTGGCACTAGCTCGCACCCTCCTCCTTGTTCCAGGAATTCCTGAATTGCCCCCCCACACCTCACACCCATAAGTAGACCTGACCTCAGCAGTACCATAGCTAGTGATTGATGTTCACTGTACAAGGTTTACTGAACATTCTGATCAGGAGACTGAAGGCCAGCAGACATAACACCTATATGTTAGAACTGGATGTTCTACAATTAAGTTATTTATAAGCCTTATAATATGTTCAGGAAGACCAGTCTCGAAAAAACACCTCTACAATAAATTTAGTGCGGCTTCACTATGTATGGTTTGTAGTTTTGTACCTTTCTTCCTATGCTGTGCTATTATTTAGAAAAAATAGAGCTAGAGATACACTGAGAGAAAGTGAGAGTTTAAAAAACAGCCTATTTTTTGTGTCAGTGTGAATAAAATAATTCCTACCATAAGTGTCAGTGGCATAAAATAAGCTCTATCGTTTGTGGTCCTCTGAGAGACTAAGCATTAAGAAGATGATTGGTGCCCCTCTGACAGACTGACACCAATGATGGGGCTTATTTTATCTCACTGACACCAATGATGGGGCTTATTTTATCTCACTGACACCAATGATGGGGCTTGTTTTATCTCACTGACACCAATGATGGGGCTTGTTTTATCTCACTGGCACCAATGATGCTGGCTTCCTAGCCAATCAAGAAGCCGGGAGGCAGATCATGACGTGCCGCCCGGCTTCCTGATTGTTGCTAAGCAGCCTGGCTTCCTGACCAATCAGGAAGCTTGACGGCACCTCATGACTCGCTGCCCGGCTTCCTAATTGATCAGGAAGCCAGGCAGCCTCTGAAGCCAATGTTCTTTCGCTAGAACAATGGCTTCACAGGCAATCAGGAAGCCAGACGACGGGTCATGATCCGCCGCCCAACTTCCTGATAATCGGGGCACTATGCACCGGTACTCGGTATTGGCGAATACCGGAAAAAAAATATCGGTACTTGACACCGAAAAAACGGTATCGGTGCTTCCCTTTTTTTTATCCCACTTGCAACAATGATGGAACTTAATATATCCCACTGACATTATGATAGGTCTTATTTTTCTACCAACTGTGTATTTTTCCTCGCATTGAAACCAATGATGGGGTATATTTTAATACTATAATAATCCCCATTATTTGTTATGACAATTAAATAAGCCCAATTGTTTGTATCAATGGAAAAAACACTTATTCTATTGTTGGTGTCAGTGAGAAGCAAATATACCCCAAATAGTTGGTGTCAGTTGGAGTGAAATACACACCAAATCATTGGTGTCAGTGAAGCAAAATATACAACAAATTGTTGGGGTAAGTTGGGCCAAAATCACCCGACACCTCAAATTGGTGTCAGTAAAAGCAAACTATACCTCAAATCAGTGTCAATGGGGGCAAGCTCAAGCATTGCTTACTTACTAATTACACACTTCCGCAATGCTATTCTGCCTGTGCTGGCCAGAACTCCACCTGCATAACAGTGCTATGCCCTGAATTGTTACAGGTATTTATACAAGCAAACTAGCTATTGCACCCACCTTCTGCTGCTTTCAATCACCAGAAGAGGACCCGATAGAAAACTTCAGGTCCCACTCTGCTGATTGACAGCAGCAGTGGGCGGGTGCATTAGCTAGTTTGCTATTGCAAAGTGCATCTAGCTATCTCATATTAGTTTCACCTTTTAAGTTGCATTAGTGAAATAAATGAACTTTTGCACAATATTCTAATTATTCGAGTTTCACCTGTAAATCCATTGAGTTCACCACTTGGTGGCATAGTAAACCATCCCGGGAGCATGTAACAGGTTCATAATCTGTAGCCTACTTTATTTCCTTTTGAAAACTGCATTATGAGGCCAGATTGCTCCCGACTCTCCTCTGATGCAAGAGGCCCCATATACAACAGATTTACCCAGGCATGAATATTTGACACTTACGCTAAATACCAATATGACATGGGAAAGAAAAGAAGTGATGGTAAGAGAACCTTACCTTTATTCAAGCAGATATCTTGGAGCTGGTATCCTTGAACATCGGGGATGGTCCATACATGTAATTTTTTAACTAATCAAATGCAACACTCACATATATTCACTCTCTCTCCTCGACAAGGCAATAGGAGAGTTCAATTCATACCACTGTGCTGAAAATATAAATATAAAGCCACCTACATACAGGTGAAACTCGAATAATTAGAATATCGTGCAAAAGTAATTGCAGTAAGTGCTGCAAAAGGGGCCCAAACCAAGTACTGAGTACATATGCATGCTTGTACTTTTCAGAGGTTCGATATTGTTCTATGTACAATCCTTGTTTTATTGATTGCATGTAATAATCTACTTTTTTGAGGTTGTGGATTTGGGTGGTTTTCATGAGCTGTAAGCCATAATCATCACAATTATGACAAATCACGGCTTGAACTATCTTGCTTTGCATGTAATGAGTCTATCTCATATATTAGTTTCACCTTTTAAGTTGCATTAGTGAAATAAATGAACTTTGCACGATATTCTAATTATTCGTGTTTCACCTGTATATACATACACACATACATGGCAGCAAATCAGCTTTAAGCTTTGATTTTGAAGGCCCCTTTCACACGGGTGGTCCAATCAGGTCCACCTGTCAGTTTTTCAGATGCCCCGGATGCCCAATGTAAGATTATTGGCAGCCGTGTGTAAACAGACATGCATTTAGCCCCGACTCCGGCCAAGTTCAGAAAACCAAACGGATCAGAGATCCATTTCCCCAGACCTTATCGTGCCGGATCGGGGTAATCTGATGTCTGTTTACACCAGTTCCTCATAGACTGACATGGGGTCCATTCACTGCAGACATGGATGTCACGGCAGTGATATCTGCTACGGTCACAGATCCTTTCCTTATCATCCCGTGTGAAAGAATCAACCCTAACTGGCCCAGCTGAAGATAGCAGCTGATTGGTTATTGTGCATTGGTTCCAAACTCAATTCCACTTCTTTGCATTGTTGCATGTTTGTGCTCCCCTGTAGATTCATTTGGCAGGTGGTTTCATATTTACTTTTAGGCAGTTAAAGTTAAGCTCCAGATTCAGTCTACTCCAGTTTTAGTAAATTGGCCGCATGATTTCCAAAGATGAAAGGCAGATTGCAGCAAACCTAAAGCTGGACATACACTGTTTAAGTCTTCCTGATTTGGCCAAAATTTTAGGAGTGTATGGCCCTGCTGGCACCCTCACTTCTACTAAAATCAATTTTTCAATCACCTTTTCGAAAGGAGCTGGAGTGAAGGTTGTTGGCTGAACAGTGACTGAAGTCAATCAGCTACAGTCACTGTTTAGGTATTCTGACAGCTGCGGGTGCCGGCTGTCAGAATACAGTAGCCCAGCCGGGAAGGCCCACCCTTGGACAGGGAAATCAAGCATGTTTTCTTGTTCAACCTGCGGGGTTGAGCGAGAAAAAACTTCAAGTGTATAACCAGCATAGAACTTTGAGGGGACTCAAATAAAGCAGATATACTCACCTGACACTCAGCCCTCGTTCACACCTGACCGTTTTGTAGAGCGTTCTATTTCCATTGGGATACAGCCAACTAGCCTTCGGGGTCGTGCGACTTTTTACCGCGAATCGCTGTAAAAAAACGCACGACAGACGCGCATATGCAATACGCCTAGGTGTAAACGAGGGCTAAGTCCCTCCAGGCTGCTAGACTGATCCACACAGGCTCTTCTCTGCTGGGCTCCAGCAGTCTAAGAAAGGCTGATTTCATCACATCTAATGCAGGTGACATTGACTCGCATTAAATGTGAGGACACCAAGGGATATTCCACAGCCGGAGTAGAGGGGGAGAGAAGCACTGACTGCCACAGGACCAAAGATCAGGTGAGCATATCTGCTTTATCTGAGCCCACTAGACAAATTGGGCACTTAATCCTTGCAGTAGGGGGGATTTGCTCCACTGCAAGGGTAAGTCTGAAATGTGGCCTGTGCAGACTTCTGGAACAAATAGTCAATTACACAAACAAGATCGCAGAGTTTTTCTTTAAAGGAGAACTATGGGGTCAGGGCTTTTCCCCATAGTTCTCCTTAGTGTAATGGGAGGACACAAACTAGCGTCCTCCTGTCATCCAAAGCTCAGTATACCGCAAGCTACACCTCGCGGTATACTGAGATGCCGCAGCTGAAGCGGTTCCCGACAATTATGCCTGGACCCGCCCAGCTGCGTGAGTGCCAGCTGGCTCTACCTACCTAGAGGCAGAGCCAGCTGTACCCGCCCCTCCCCTGTCCGTTCCGCCAGTCAGCGCTGGAGGAACGGAGCGGGGAGGGGGTATCCAGCCCCTCCCCTGTCACAGCAGAGAGCCGTGACAGGATCGAGAAGTGAGCGAACGCCACTATGTGTTCGCTCACTTCCCGATCTACTGAGCCGACCTGTGACAGTCTCATTGTCACAGGTCGGCTAGAACTATGAGGTGAGTGAAAAGCACTCACCTCATAGTTCTCCTTTAAGTGTTATCACAGCCTGATGAGTCAGACTTTCCCCACCTCTCAACCAATTTTATTCTTTCTGTCTTTCTTCCTCAATTCATTGTGGATTTTGTGGACTTCCTAGTTTAGATAAGCAGCTTATCACACAGCTATGTCATCAAACTATTGTCAGCTCAGAATAACAGAAACTGATGACAACTACTGAACCCGACTGTAATGCTGTGCATTGAACTTCATTCACACCTCACACATGACACTCATTTTGTGAACATTGACACATTTAAACTGATACAATCATTATGAGGAAACTGCCTAAAAGTAAACATGAAACCACCTGCCAAATGAATCTACAGGGAAGCACAAACATGCAACAATGCAAAGAAGTGGAATTGAATTTGTAACAAATCAGCCCTAACACATTGAACAATAAATGTTTATACATTT